CGTCAGCCGCATTGACAGCTCAATCAAAGACATGGAGCACCGTTACGGCCACCGCAGAGCACCCGGAAAGTGGTCCCGACAAGAGCTACTTAGCCCAACAGTCGCCGTTTTTTCCTCAGGAATTCCCGAAACTCGATGGTGGGAATGCCCCTCAAGACGGCGCCACAAAGCCAAGCGCCGACACCTCGTACGGTCCCGGACCCAGTCTCAGGCCTCAGACGGAGGGCAGTTGGGGCAGAGGGACACTCCCGCAGCCGCAGCCCGGCTTCAATCCCAACGCAAACCAATCACCGAATGCTGGCAGCGGAGGGTTAGGACAGCCACAGTCCCCGCCCGCCGCCGGCGCTCCCAACGATCAAAGCATACAACAGCAGATGGCCAGAGGTCTGTACCCGCAGTCGGGGGCCGGTCTCCCTCCGCCACGACCACCCATTCCCGGCGCCGTTCCCATTATGCCCGCCGCTAACCAATCGGGCGCTCCATTAATGCCCGGACAGACGCCTATGAACTACAATCAGTACCGAATGATGACTCCATATCCGCCACATGTAAGTCATTCGCGAGTTTTCTCACAAATCTTATCAATCGTTTGAATATTTATTTTCAAAATAAATAACATTCGAGTGAATGATATGGTTCTGTAGGTTGAGTTCAGTTAGCTGTAGCTGTCGGCCATTGCCTCCAATAAACGCATTCACTTGAGATCAACTGATAATTTTAAATCACATTTTGATAAAAACTCGAAAAATATTATTTATTAGTAAAATATATGTTAGTTATGAAAGTCTGATACATACAGTGTTTGTGTTTTATTTAGATTACAAATGAATTGTTACCTGTATTGTGAAAAATCAATAATTGTTTTATTAAGTAATTTATAATTAGTGTTTTATATAATATGTAACTATTAATTATTGCTTAATTGATTTTATTAATGCAAAATTAGTGGAAATATTTTTAGATAATGCCGTAATATTTATAGATTTTTATTGACATTTTTGTATTTACAATGTTTTAAATGTTAATTGAATTCAAATCGATTGGCAATACAGTACATTATTTTATATATTTTGATAATGGTTTATTAATTTATTGGCACAGAATTCCACATTTGATGTATTAATAGCAATGTTATTGTTTTAATTTAAAGATGGCTTACCCGAGAGGCACATACCCTGGAGGTCCGTTCCCGCCGCAAGGATATGCGCCGCAACACGTCAGCCGCATTGACAGCTCAATCAAAGACATGGAGCACCGTTACGGCCACCGCAGAGCACCCGGAAAGTGGTCCCGACAAGAGCTACTTAGCCCAACAGTCGCCGTTTTTTCCTCAGGAATTCCCCAAACTCGATGGTGGGAATGCCCCTCAAGACGCCGCCACAAAGCCAAGCGCCGACACCTCGTACGGTCCCGGACCCAGTCTCAGGCCTCAGACGGAGGGCAGTTGGGGCAGAGGGACACTCCCGCAGCCGCAGCCCGGCTTCAATCCCAACGCAAACCTATCACCGAATGCTGGCAGCGGAGGGTCAGGACAGCCGCAGTCCCCGCCCGCCGCCGGCGCTCCCAACGATCAAAGCATACAACAGCAGATGGCAAGAGGTCTGTACCCGCAGTCAGTGGCCGGTCTCCCTCCGCAACGACCACCCATTCCCGGCGCCGTTCCCATTATGCCGGCCGCTAACCAATCGGGCGCTCCATTAATGCCCGGACAGACGCCTATGAACTACAATCAGTACCGAATGATGACTCCATATCCGCCACATGTAAGTCATTCGCGAGTTTTTCTCACAAATCTTATCAATCGTTTGAATATTTATTTTCAAAATAAATGACATTCGAGTGAATGATATGGTTCTGTAGGTTCAGTTCAGTTAGCTGTAGCTGTCGGCCATTGCCTTCAATAAACGCATTCACTTGAGATCAACTGATAATTTTAAATCATATTTTGATAAAAACTCGAAAAAATATTATTTATTAGCAAAATATCGTAGTTATGAAAGTCTTATGCATACAGTGTGTGTTTTATTCAGATTACAAATGAATTATTACAATTGTTACCTGTATTGTGAAAAATCAATAATTTGTTTTATTAAGTAATTAATAATTAGTGTTTTATATAATATGAAACTATTAATCATTGCTTAATTGATTTTATTAATGTAAAATTTGTGGAAATATTTTTAGATAATGCCGTAATATTTATAGATTTTTATTGACATTTTTGTATTTACAATGTTTTAAATGTTAATTGAATTCAAATCGATTGGCAATACAGTATTAATACATTATTTTATATATTTTGGTAATGGTTTATGAATTTATTTATTGGCACAGAATTCCACATTTGATGTATTAATAGCAATGTTATTGTTTTAATTTAAAGATGGCTTACCCGAGAGGCACATACCCTGGAGGTCCGTTCCCGCCGCAAGGATATGCGCCGCAACCCCCACCGCACGGACACATGAATCCACGACAGCCTTATTTTCCAGATGCGAGGTTTGTCTGACATTTGTTTTGATAACTATATGTATGTATGGATCACATGATGATTGAAATTTGGCTGAACTTTATGTTGACATAACTCTTCATCACCCACTTGTCTGACGATCAATACATTCATATATATTATTCACCACTTGTTTGATGTGTTTGTATTAACAATGTTTTGAACAAACATTTCTAGAGTCGGCCAAAGACCAGACGACGAGTCTGGCGGACGACCCGCACGACCGGCGCCTCCTATTATTACGGATAAGGATTTGAAAGGTTTCGACGATATCTTGGAAAATGATAAAGGCTTGCAAAAGGGTTGGGCCGCAGCTAATACTGAGGTCGACTACAACGCAAAGATTGTCTTCAGTGATGACGAAGACTCTCAACCCATGAAAGAGTCGGCCAATTATGGAGAGATGCGGTCTAATAGTGACAAACAGAAGGATTGGGAGCGAAGGGACAGAGACTATGACAGAGGGGACGAAAGGCCCAAATCGTACCGATCGGCTCAACAGCAGCAGCAGTGGCAACAACAACAACACCCACACCAACAGCATATGCCGGCCAACGCTCGCGTCAATAACTTCGATAATCAGTCGCAACCACAACAACAACAACCACAACACGGCTCACAGCAGGGATATCCGCAAAGACAGCAAATTCACTCAAATTATCCGCATTCGCGTCACAATAGATCTGATCACACAATGGCTGACGACGACGAGATGTGGCGGCAGCGCAGCCAACAGCAGACCGACGAGATGGCGGCCGCAGTCATCAGAGCCCGACAGAGACGCTTGGATGAGGAGAAGAGGATGGAGCGCAGCCGACAGGCGGCTCACGAGAAGCTCCGCATTCTCGAGGAGAAGGTCGTCGATAAGGATGACGTGTCCTCTCGACACAGCAGCGAAAGCAAAGACGATAAGCTGTCGTCGAGTCGTGACCCTCGGGGGGACGGCCGATCGAATTACACGAATTCATTTGCGGCGACCAAACAGTACCCGAAGAACGTTCCGCCGCGCTTTCAAAAGCAGGCAGAGATGTTGCGACAGACACAGGGGTCCGGTCCGCCGACCGGTGCTGGGCAGCCGCCTTACGATCAGCGGTTTACTCATTCGTCGAATCGATTGCCGTCAGAGAGTGAGTCTCGCGAAGGCCGTAATCTCGTGAATAGTAGTCAAGCGAACAGTAAGGCGCCGGCAATGGCTGACAACTCGCGATCAAACAGTCAAATAAGTTCTGGTCACGAAAGCTATGACAGCGAACGCGAGAGAAGGACTCCTGACTACGAATCTAAAGAGAGACGACCGCATCGGACGTCCGGTTCTGATAGCAATAACTGGAGAGCAGCTCAGACTCAAAGGTCTCCATTGGCTGAATCCAAAGACAGTTCTCAGAGTCCGAGCGCTCGTCCCGTCGATGACACCGATAATAATCAGAACCTCCATCGAGACGTCCCTAAGCGTGCGAATGAAGAGTCGGAATATTTGTTGCAAAAGAGTAGTTCAGAAGTGAGAGACAATAAACCGAAAGACGAGACGATTGAAAGTAAGGAAAGTTTTAGTGAAAAACGAGTTTTGGTTGAAAGACAGGAGAGCTCTCAAAGTTCGCATTCAGACAAACGGAGCACTTCTTCCAAAGAGGACCGCTTTGGGAAGCGATACGAACGGTTGGATTGGGCCGCAGAATGTGATAATATGTCGCCCATTGGCGGCAGTTATGGTCAACGGCGCGAACACAACCGTCACCGACCCGTTCCCATCACTCAGAAGCAGTTTGAAAGTATTACAGAACCGATCAAAAAGAATTTCACGCCAATCAAGAAGACGAGCAACACTTCGGTCACCAGTTCTTACAGCGAAGACTCCAAAGAGGGTTCAGTCGACAAAACGAAGGATACCCTCAGAAAGAGCGAAACCCCTCCTCTCAACACTACCGCCGCCTATAATGCCGATAACCTGACGGCGAGAACTAGTTCTTCAGATGTGTCTAAAGTGCAAACCATTAGAGAGGAAACTCGTGGCGAGTCGTTGGGCTCCAAGAAAGAGAAGGACAGTGACAGACAATACGACAGAGCGGTTGACAGAGAGAAGGATTACATGAAAAAGGAATCCATAAAAGACGACAGAAATGTGCGAAAAGAGAGAAGTAATTCGAGTCGTTATGAGACGTCTCGGGAGTCGTATTCGGGAAGAGGAGCGCGTTATCCGACTACTACTGGACCCGCTTTTAGAGGGACAGGAACGGGAAGGGGTCGCGAATACCGTCGGTCCCCTCGTTCTGGAGATAAGCCCTCATATAACGAATCAAAAGGGACTTTAAGTCCCGGAACCTCACGAAACAAAACGAACAAATCTCGAAGAAAATCAAATTCTGACGAAAGCTGTGTTTCCGAAGACATAAATAAGACGAAAGAATCGACAAAAGCGGAGATCGAAAAGTCGATTCCAGTGACAATTACTGACTCCAAAGACACTAAACATGAAGAGGAGAAGGAGAAGAGTGTGACTCCCGATACTGTTATGTCCGGCTCTGCGTCGTCAGTGGTTCCCAACCAGAGGAATGACATCTCGCGCAGAGGCAGAGGTTTAGTGCCCTTTAAAAACAGTAGCACTCGAGGTATGCCCCGAGCATACGGTCCCAGTAATTACGGTCCGCCGCCGTCGAGGGCAGCGTTCGGCGACGGATCGGTCCATAAGTCTGAGTCCAACAAGAATTACGACCAAAACCGTAACGAACGGAACGAATCGAGAAATTCTAATCAAATGCGAAACACTTTCAAATCAGCCGCCGATGAGATGAACTATAGTTCACACATGAATTCGCAGTCAAATCAATATCAGGACAATAATAGGAACAGTATTTCAAACGCTCGCAAATCTGGTGCCCCCGGCAGTCGAGGCACAGCCAGCGCCAACACTCCCAGTAATAACAATCGTGCGGAACAATTGCCGCCACGATTTCAGAAGAGGAATAACAGGCCATCACAAGGACGTGGAGGTCGTAGATCCGAAAGGAGTGGTTCTGGCAATCAATACGATGACGGGGCCAACGAGGAGTGGGAGACGGCCTCTGAGAGCAGTGATATCGGCGACAGGAATGACAGAAAGGCGAAGAAAAATAGTTCATCCGATCAGCAAAAGACTGACAGCAGAAGTCATAACCGGAAATCTGATAATAGAAGAGGAGGTGATTATACTGACCGGAGGGGACAACACGTGAATAGTTCGGGCAATCAGTCGAGTGGTTACAGAGACGGTAGAGGCGGACGTAACCGCAATCAGGGGAACGGCGTTCTAACCACTCGCTCGCCAAACACTAACCAACAGAGGAATGGGACTATCAGTGGCTCTAATATTAACGATAATATAACTGTCTGTGCATTAAGTGAAGTAACACTCGATAACCCAAATGCTGTCGAAGAGGCGTTGAGTGATATTAAGAACCGAAACAAATCGAGTGATTTGATTGACGACCAGAACAACAGTGAGACTGAAGACGGCTTTCAAACGGTTTCGTATAAGAAGAGGAATCGAGTGAATCAGGGAAACGACTCCAAGAAATTCAAACAAGAGGTTTGTCTTTACTTTTATTATGAAATTAGACTGAATTGTATGTTTAATACAGAAACTGATGAATTGTTAGTTAATCTGTCAATCCTATGACCGCTTATTTGATTTTAAACACTAAAATCTGAATTATTTTTTTAATTAAAATTTTTATTCTATTTATTTTTTGCTACTTTTATTAATTAATGATTTGTTGTGTAAACCCATAGCTGAGCCCCAAGTCCAAGGCGACTGTCCGCACCCGTCAGAGCAAACTTGCGCCTCGTTTTGCTAAACAAAAGGAGAATAATAGTCGTCTGAAAACCATAACCGATGAGGCGTTCACTTCTACCGCAAAAATATCCGAAGATTTGAAATCTCTTTCAATTGACAATAAAAGCAGTGAATCCGTTGTGAAGAGTCCCAAAGAAAAGGTTGAAATATCGACTCAAATCAAAACAGTTCCCAACGCCTGGAGCCGACCATTGAGTCATTGCTCTCAGACGACGGCAAGCAATACGACGATCACTACGACCACCAAAACCACGACACAGACGTCCAGCTCTAAGGTGCAGGACATTCACGCACTGAGCGTATCGTCCAAATCGAGTAGTTTTGATCAGCACGACAGCGGCATCGACGCAGACCAACCCCCGTCCACCGCCTCATCCCAGCGCTCGTCCCCTTCCAACGACGACAACAAACTGATCACAACTACCGCTAAAGTGACGAATCCGACCGAAACCCGAACCGATATCGTGAGCATTGAATTGAGTCTTATTTTATGAATACATGTCTTAATGAATGTGTATTCATGTGATGAATAGGTGACAGACATTGACGCTGCGAAGCCTATGTGTACCGTTATCTTCGAGAACACCCGCTATAAGGAGGAGAACAAAGTATTGGCCAAAATAGCGCCCGCGAAGTCTCCCACCGCTAAGGTATGTACTGTTCCTCACATTTGAAATGCTTGTTATTTATTACATGATGAGAATACGGAGCCAATCCAATGATTGTATTTTGATTACAAAATCCTTGTCCCTAAACTGACCCAATGTTTGCACAATTATTTCAAAACATAAGTAATTTAATTGTTTATTAAACGGTGTTTTTATACAATTTAAAGGAAATGTTTGTCGCGACGACTGCCGTCAACAATGTAGTGACAGAAGCGAGTCGTCCCAACCCACCGATTGCTGCCCCGAAAAAGGTATTATTTTTGCATTTATTTTAAACCAAATTTAGCGCAACTGTAGACCCGTTTTGTCATTTGATTGACTCTATGGGGGGATTATTTTGCGCCAAAATGAAAGCGATTTCTTATAATTTCTCAATAATAGTGTAAATCATTCGCTTAATTGACACTTTGATTGCTTACAAACAGACCGATTCCGTACTCATCGATGAGTTCGCCCTCAACGAGAAGACTCAGACACCAAATGTGGCAAAAGTGGTGGGAATGCAGAGAACAAGTGTATTGCCCACTGAATCGGATCTCAATGTGAAGATAGCGTCGACCCGAAAGGTGTGGGAGAATCCATCCGTGCCCTCGACTATAGACTCGACCAATGAAAACGCGAAAAATGCTTTATTGAAGTCTTTTGATGCAAATAAGATGATTAGCTCTGAGAGCCATACCAGTGATGTCCACAACATTGTGAAAGTGTCTGAACCGACGGCTACTAAAGTCCACTATTCGACTGTCGAACCGATAAACCCTCCAAATAAGAGCAAAACTCCGGTCATGACATACTCGACGCCCACTCCCAACCAAATGTCTCAAAACCAGTCGTACGTCAGTTCACACCAATCGCAACCATCACTCATGTCATCGCAACAAATACTGTTGAATACAATAAGTTCTCCGCCTTTAGTGGAAAGCATGCGTCCAGTGTCTGGAGTGCAGCAGTCCTTTCAGGTGCACACTATGGCTCAAAATCCAGCCATTTCTACGCCCCCGACAATGCTCTACAACACGCACGTCGGCGCCCATAATGTGTACCAATCGTTTGGACCACAGATGGATAGTTTACATCAGACACAACTGCCACCAGTTATGGCCCAATTTGGCGCTCAACACAACGCTTCGCATTACGGCCAACACCTCCTCCAACAACACCAGCAAAACCAGTTGAATCAGGCGAACATTTTCATGACTCATCAGTTGACACAACCGTCGGCGTCCGAGCAGTTCAAGCAACTGAATGCTGTGGCGCACCACCAGTCGCACCAGCAGTCGCTCGCAGCCAAGGCACTGCCTATCAATCAGTTCGTCCATCAGAACACTTCTAATTTGCACCAAACGTTAGCCAACTCTGGCTCGTGGACAGCGGCCACACCTCACAACCAGACCAACACACAAACGGCTAATTACTATCAGCAGTCAAACACATTGAATAACGTATTGCAAGCACATCAGCAACACTTTGCCTATCAATCTCAGCCATCGATGGGTCTAATGTCGGCCCAGAATTCGCAGGCGACCGCAGCCGCACTGGCCGTCCAGCAGTCCTATCGCGCCACTCAACTACCGATGGCTCGCACGTCGGCAGTCGACTCAATGGCCACGAACTCCATGGCAGCCAATCTTCGGTCGATGTTCGCCGGGAATATCATTAATGACATGAAAATCGGGAATTCCGTGAATCAAACCGTCGGTCAAAACGCCAACAACAGGACGTCGTTTGCATACAACCAGAGCTCGCAATCGTTGCAACAAATACAACAACAACACCAACAGATGTTTGCCGCGAACCAGAAGTTCACGGGTCGGGCCATTCTGCCCATCTATGCCCAGCAGATGCTGTCCCAGTCTGCCGCCATCCCGGGCCGACCCAACTCCACATCAATGCTTACGTCTAACGTGAGCTCTAATAACAGTTACACGACTCCCATTCAGAGGCCCAAAGTTAACCGCAATAACCAGTCGTATGTGAAGAACACTCATCCGACACACTATCAGAACCAATACCAGACTCAACCGCAACAACAACTACCACAACAACTGCCGCCACAACCACAGCAACCGACTATAGCGCAGGTGAACGCCGCACAACAGGCGAAGATGAGACAGGAGGCCGTCCGACAGACGCAGTCCTTCTTCGCGCAGTCATCTCTGCCCACAACTAAAGGCGAGTCACCCCTCGAGGCACAGACCGGTGCACCAGAGGTCTCGGTCGACACCGTCATCGCCGACAACACTACCCCTGCGCTCAACGACAACACAATGAATACAATTGAGAAAAATGACTAAAACATGATTTTATGACTTATTAATGGATTATTATTATTAACACTAAACAAAAGTGCGAATACTTTCACATAATTATTATCCAATGATTTTAAAGCAAAATAATTTAAATGAAGTTTATTATTGATATTAATATTAAACAATTCTCTTATTATATAAATAATATGCGATTGCATTACATATTACGGACCAAACGATTAAATGTTTTGCAGTTTTACGAACTACTTCTCAACACTTGAAATGTGTTTCACTTTTAATTTAATTGAATTTAAGGATCGGATGATTGGGTTTAAAAGTATAATTGGCTTCACTTTATATATGATATGAGTTTATATATTAATATTGAATTAATGCCTCAACCGATCGATCGATTTATTTATCGTAAATATAAACAAATTTTCAAGACATTCAACGATTGGAACTATGAATCTATAAGTCTATAAGTAATGTATATTAAAGTTAATACTAAATCCAATTATATTTATCATTGAATTTGTTTGATTGAAAAGCAAACACATAATCTCTTTGGGTATAAGTGTTAACATTGTTTTTTCGCAATCCATAGCCCGAACACCCAAACTATAAATAAGTGTTATTTTTATTAGTTTTTTCATTTGGCATTTGAGGGCTAAACTGAATTTTATATCTAATATTTTTTAATGCAATAAAATATTGATATAATCGTTGAGTGTGTACTCAAAAACACCGATATTTCACAAATGATTAAATTATTTGAATATAAATATATATATATATATATTAAGCTAACATTTGAAACGCTTTTTAATAATAACTTAATTGAATAGTTATCCCAATTTGTTGATGTAATTCACTGTTGTTTCTAAAAAATATAACTTAATTTAAACGACTTTTTCAATGACTTTAGTCTATAATACTATATATAACTTATAAATATAATTCACATTCGGTTATCAAAAAGTATTGATTTTTGTATAACATATGACATCGAAAACTGAGTAAAAAATCCAATTAATTAGTAATTAATAGTTAATATTATTATTATAACTGCTGTTAAGGTATACCTACTGTACAGAAGTCGTAAATTGATCTTAAATTGTATTGCATTTTAGGTACTATTATAGAGTTATCGCAGCTTTTCTTCTGTAATCTTCAAACAAAAACTTTAATTAAAACACAAAAAATGCAAATAAAATGTTATCTTTTGCTGCTTTTAATGAATTCAATGTTTGTTTTGAGTAAGCAATCGATGAATACATTTATAAAAAACACTTGTAATAAATGTCTGTATAAACGATGGATCGGATTATTTAAACAAATTTCTTGTTTTAATAATATTATTATTTTTCTTTTAATTTTTTAGTTTAAAATTATTAGTATTTAATATAAAATTTCGAATAAAACTATTTGAGATTCAAAATCAATTACAATTTGTGTCTATTATTTATATTCATTGGATACATATGGATACCAAAAATAAGTATTCAATGAAAGATCAGTTTCTGTGTACAGAATATTCTGTTATTCAGAAGAATTACGAGTTTTGAATATTAAAAACAATTTTCTACCTGTCCCCTATCTGATCACATGTATGTATAAACATTAATTTATTATACAGTAGTAGTTCACAATAGATTTAATTATTAGTATATTAAAGTTACTATTAAATTAAATATAAATTTTATAAGTCTAAAAAATTAACAAAAAAATATGAAACTTATGTCTAAATTAGTAATTATAAAATGAGTATTTAGTATAAAACTAGTATAGATAACAATTGTTGACCCATTAGTTTAGAATAATTAGCAAATAATTTAATTCTTAATGTTTGTTGTTAATCTTTATTCAATTCTGTATGTGTCCGGGATAACACATAATGTGTGTCTATTGAGTCCAGCAATGTCTCATCCAATACACCATTCCTCAAACATATCGACAAATGTGTCAATCGTTTCAACGGAGACAATGACTTCGGTGTCACCAATACTTTGTGTCCGATTAGATCCAATGGTGTCTCAAACATGAACTCAAGACGTCGTAATCCTATCATCCGATTCGCCGACTCATACACTCGTCTCACTTGTGGATCAGTTTTACATAACAAATGCAGTCGATATCTCTTAAGATGTGGCCATTGATTGACAAACTCTTCGCAGTGATAGTGAACGATAGAGTGAATTGTATGGGAATTAATGTTATGCTCCCAAACATTGGTGCCATTCAGTGGAACCGATAATTCTCGCATCCCTTTCATCTGTGATGTCAGTGACAACACATGAATATATTCTTCGGCAGACATGAGATCCCAATTGAAAACAATTGAAAACGATTTTAAGCTATTCTTGTAGTGATCGACAAACGCTGGCAATAGGTTGCCATCGGATGTCTCGTATGGGTATCGAAAATGAGTCAAATTCTTGAGTAATATCTCATTGTTTTCGGTGACAATCGATGACAACAGATCTGGACATTGATTGCAATCATTGAGTGTTTGTATGAATTCATAAGTCTTTTAAACACTTTTCTGGTCTTTTCTGAACTAATGTTAATATCAATGGATGTAATGTTTGGTAACTTCTTGCCCATCGATTCCAATGCTTCCCAATTAATCTTTGCAAACCATTCACTGCGAGACTTGATGTCAATTCTTATGATCAATTTGCGCACCACTTCATCCACATTAAGACAAACTTGTGATTTGAATACCAATCGCTGCCACTGTTTGGACAGACATTCAAATCGGAAACAGTCTTCGAGTGACAGATAAGACAATATCTCTTCGCATAAGTCGTCCCCATATCTGTCGAACGAGTCTTTCGGATAATATTCCTCTTCAGTGAACTTCATATCAATTGATACGATCTGTAGCTATAAATACAATCAATTCATAAATACATGTAATGAATATAAAATGATTCATTGAGTGATTGACACAAAAGTGGTATCTTTTTACAAACCTTTTGACACAACTCTTGGCATTCATTGTCTTCCTCTTCTGCCATCACTTCTTCGACTCGTTTCGCGTATTAAACGTTGAATTCAAACTAAATGTGATTTAAATGTAAAATCAAATCAATCGTCAAAACTATTGAATGAAATTCATGTGAAAAACATTTCAAACACTGCACTGACAGTCATGTGCAGAGATTCTGCACATAGAATACATGTATTCGAAGTGAGGGTTACTCACAGAATATTCTTATGTACAGAAAATCTGGGCATGTGTTCACACGAATGAACTGTTCATTAATAACATCACATATGGATATAATATGCCGTAAACTGAATAACTTATTCTGTGAGACAATCAACTATTGTAATAAAAGTAACTAAAAAGCAATTTAATAATAATATGTTTTGATAGAAAGAATATTCTTTATAACAAACTGATGGCACATTCAATCCATTACAAATATAACTAGCGATTCATTTGAATTAAAATCAGAAACTTAGCTGAAATTCACGTTTTTAAGTTTGGGTAACTTTTTAACCATCAAATAAATTAAAAGTTTGCTATCAATTCAAAGTCTCGCTCCAATCATACAAATTGATGAGACGTTCAGTTTAGTGAACTTTAAATTAAAATATCAATCATTTGTAAACTTCTTATAATGGGTTATGACTTGAAGAGGATTAACAGCGAAGTGGATGAAGAGCTTAAGTGTGGTATTTGTCATCAACTTCTTGAGGATCCCGTAATACTGAGTCAATGCGATCACATATTCTGCAGGAAGTGTCTCAACCAATGGATGACAACGTATTTGATTTGTCCGATTGACAGACAATTTGTGAACGAATCTCATGTGAAGTCTGCGCCAAAACTCTTCCAAAACTTTATCACCAAATATGAGATCCGTTGTAATTATGCGGACAATGGGTGCAGAGTTGTGGTCAAAGTGGACAAATTGGATCAACACATCCACAACTGTCCCTTCAGATCCGTTGCACATCCAGAGGTCGAGTCTGCAGATAATCGCCTCAAACAATTGGATTCACTGGAGAGTAGAGTCAAGAATCTTGAGATTGAGAACCAATGGATTCGCCGACAATTGGATGAACTCAAGAAACACATCGACTCCTCGGCCGATGACCAGAATCTGGACTCCAAGAGTTGTGTCGGAAAAATGATGGTTAAAGTGGAGGACAAGTCATTCGTCGTCGACGCGGATCCGCAGGAATCCATCGAAAGAATCAAAAAGAGAGTCCAAGAGTTGGATGACATGAATGGCGAGGAAATGCTGGTCTACTTCGCGAACCAGGAATTGGATCCCAAACTAACTCTTTCTGATTATCGCATTTGCAAACCAATGCCTCATCTCTTCCTATCTCTGGTCAAGAAGAGGATGAGAATATCGTTGAGAATAGACAGGGAAAGAGTGGTTACGGTTGAGGTGTCGCCAAAACACACCGTCGCCGACGTGTTGGCTATGGTTCTGGAGGACCGGCTTCTGGAGTGCAAGCAATATGTCGTCAGTTATCGGAACCAAAGACTTGATGAGAGCCGCACTCTATTGAGCTGTAAAATACGGGACGGGAACTACATCTTCATCAATACAGACACCTCATCCTCAGTCATATAACCATTCATTTGAAGCGACAATTCATTTGTTTTAATTGTATTTTGGTTTTTTATTTTCAAAATTATGTATATTTTATAAATAAGTTATGCATTAATTAGACTTAAATACTATTAAATCATTGTTTTACTGATAAATAATAATTATTAATTTGTATGACTTGTGTTCTAAAACTAATTACAATAATAATAATATCCAATTATACATCAAATATCGTATTCAACGAGGTGATAAATTTAAGATTAATCTAAAGTTGATGACTTCAACGGATCTATTCTATGGTGTCATACAAACTGTTTAATCAGTTGTTAGTATAAAACAAATAAAGTTATATTTAATCAGTTTTGACAATGAGTTTAGATAATATTAAAAATCTAAAGCCTAAATCGCGAATGAACTCAATATATACTTAAAGTGTACTTGTAGATTTCGTAGAATATATAAATAAGTCAAGAGTTTTGGTGATAAATGAGTGAAAAATAGTGAGAAATAGTATAAAAACTATTTGAGTAAAGATGTGCCTAAACCTCACGTATCGATAAAACTTGACTTTTAATAACTTCAATGAGTTCTTATCAAAATGATAGGACAAACTCCTACAGTATATTAATCATTGGTTGACTGCAACTCTTAATATCAGTCAACAACAGTAATTTGTGGCTAATAATGAAGACTATTACAAGTTTGGTCTTGATTTTACTTGCAATTAATGGCTGTACAGCTATTTTCCGCAAAAATCTATTCCCATCGCATTCAGCGGCTAATGTAAGGCAGAGCCGAGATGTTGGGGATCCACTATTTTTGACGCCATATATCGAGAGTGGAAAGATAGCTGAGGCACAGAAGTTGAGTCAAATAGTAGGCCTGTCCTCAGCGCCTAATATCACTCATTATTCCGGATACCTAACCGTTAATAAGAAGTATAACAGCAATACTTTCTTCTGGTATTTTCCGGCTCTCGTAAGTCATATGAAAATACAATTCATAAACACTTTATTTATATATAAAATGAAACTTATATTTCAAATGGATATCAGAATAAAGACAAGAATGCGCCGATTCTGCTGTGGCTTCAGGGAGGACCGGGAGGGTCGTCACTATTCGGACTCTTCTCAGAGAACGGACCACTTGTGTTGAATTCAGACTTAAAGGCCAGTCTTCGGGAATACACGTGGGGTCAGGAGTTCTCTCTACTTTACATCGATAATCCGGTGGGAACTGGATTTAGTTTTACAGAAAATGATGAGGGTATTCATATTTATAATTATATGATTAGTTCATTACTATATCTAAAAGTGTGTGTAAATTAGGTTATGCGAGGGATGAGAACGATGTGGCCCGAGATCTATACGAAGCGCTGCAACAGTTTTTCACACTATTTCCTAATGAAAGACAAAATGATTTCTACATAACGGGGGAGTCGTATGCGGGTAAATACGTGCCGGCGATTGCATATAAGATTCACTCCGAGGGGAACGCCTCTAATATCAGACTGAAGGGCATAGCCATAGGTGACGGACTGTGCGATCCGGAGACTATGTTTGGTTACGGAGACTTCCTCTTCCAGATCGGACTCTTAGATGAAAATCAAAGAGATTTCTTCAACAGTGAGACTAAGAAAGCCGTCAATTATATCGAGAATCAGAAATATTTGGACGCCTTTAAGGTATTTGATTTCCTCCTTAACGGCGACCTAATCAACAGCACCTCATATTTCACGAATGTTACGGGACTTACATTTTACTACAACTTCCTGCTGAGTAGATCTCCCGTAGAGTTCTCTTATTATCCCAAATATCTGGGTTTAGAGGAGACCAGACGTGCCATTCATGTGGGAAATGTGACATACGATGAGGGAAATACAGTTGAGATGCATCTCATCAACGATGTCATGCAGTCAGTGAAGCCATGGGTGACCGCGCTGTTGGACGCGGACTATAAGGTGTTGATATATAGCGGACAACTGGACATAATAGTGGCCGCACCTCTCACTGAGAACTTCGTGCAAAGTATTAAATGGCGAAAAGCGGATCAATACAAAAAGGCTGACCGATTGGTGTGGAAGGTGTCCGATAAGGACACAGAAGTGGCCGGCTATGTTCGAGAAGTCGATAAGTTTGCTCAGGTGGTTGTCCGCAATGGAGGGCATATCTTACCCTTTGATCAGCCGAGAGCTACACTCGATATGATCACTAGATTTGTTAAAAGCCAATCGTTTAAAAATCGTCTCAATTATAACTGAAATCAATTGTAATATTATTATTAAAGTCAAAGAATATTGTAATAAATAATTATTCCGTATAAAGAATAACAAATACAGTTCACCAATATTTATAGAATTTGTGTCTCTGGGCAAAGTTTTGTGACCTTGCTAGTTTTATTTAGACATTTCTAAAGATATTATGCATAGTACCGGTACGCCTATAATAATAATAATATGTAAAATAAAAATTAGTTGAATTGCAATTAATAATGTTTGTTTTAAAATGCAATTAAATCTCATAAGTGATCTAGCTTGATTTATTAGTACTGCTTACACGTAATGTAAATAAAATGTGTAAATAATTAATAATCTAATATTCAATGGAATCGTCATTTCAAATAACTTTTAATATCATAGCGACGACTGAATACAAAGTTTTGCCACTTTTTATATAAACTGTTTATGACTTACTGTACCGTATATTGCATTACAATATCGTAACTCTTAAGAAGTATTCTACAGACGAGTAAACATTTATTCATTTATTACTCGTAACTGACTTATCGGATAACTATATTCAGTGTTTCATAGAATAAATTTCCGGTGAATACATATTAGTTCAGTATATAATATAATTTTCGGTATATGTCTCGTCAGTATTTAGTTTCAAATTGTTTATTGAATTATTTTAAATGTGAACCTTATATGAGAAAAAGTGTTGAACCGATTGATAAGAAAGATTATAATTTTATGATTTATATAATATTTTAATAGTTTTATAAAATTGATATATTCTCAGTTTATTTATAAAAAGTTTTGCGATTAGATTTGTAGCAAAAATTTTCATAAAAGTTTGTTTGTAAACCAGTTATTAAGTTATTATGTTTGAAAAATGAAGTTTTTTACAAATACATTGCATATTATTTATTTGGTTATAGTTTATAGTATTTATTGTTGTTTTCTGACCGTCTCATCCAATATTGACACCGAATATCCCGTTATATTTAAGCCAACGAGTGATGAAAATGTTGAAAACTATTTTGGACTATCAGTCGATATGCAAAGCATACAGAATAAGATCAAGTAAGCGATTACTAAACCTTCAAACATGTCATTCACACCATTCGCTACACACTTATTGTTTGAATTGAATGTCAAATGTCTTATTAGAGACTAATAAATGTTTTCCGTTTCGAAAGCTTTATAATCGGTGCCCCAAAAACACAGTCAAAGTTATATAATGCCAAAGAAACAGGAACTGTATTTAGATGTCATATGAATCACAACTTGACCACAGATTGCAACGAAATAAACATTGATTTTCGTGAGTTATTTGATATTAAAAATACTATTTATATAATGTTTATGATATTTATAATAAAATTTACTTAATTTTGCTTAATATGCATAAATATTTGATAAAAACATGTGTTTTCAACATATTTTCTTTGAAAATATAACTAAAATTATCTGACATTTGATACAAGCATTTAAAAAATGAGTCAAATTCTTGTGAATTCAATGAATTGAATGTCAATTATTAGGTCAAATCGCAGCATCCAATCGACGATCTATAGGTCCGTCAGAAATAGTTGCGAGGGATGGCATGTTTTTAGGTGGGACTGTAGTCTCGCACCCGAATAGAGCACAAGTAGCTGTTTGTGGCCATAAATGGTGGCAAGAATTCTATGTTCAAAGGCCTGAACACCAACGAAACCCTTCCGGGAGTTGTTTTGTCGTGGATTTGGATAAACCCAATGAGACACCCGTTGCTATATTCCCGTTATCCGAGTCGAGTCAGTATTCACTTGAATAGCTTTTGACAATTCAATGACTATTACTATTATATCTCATTCTCTAATCGATAGAATAGGTCTACAAATTCAACAAAACACTTACTATTACTCGCATTCAATGAGTGGCTTTTCCGCCGCATTCACACCCGTCTGTAATCAACCAATTGTGAGATAAATGAGTGATAACTGACGGAAATGTTTGATTCGTTATCAGAGCGGTGAGAGTCTGTTGTTGGGAGCGCCGGGATTCTACCAATGGAGGGGTACTTTCCTCGAGACTGAAGCCATTCCTTTAGGCATTAATGGCTTATTAAAGGAGAGATTTGTTTTGAATCAACGCTCGACAACCAGTGGTAATGCATTTGAAAAGTTATTTTAAATTGTCATAAGAATTACTTAATTGGAAATTATTTTTGTGTAATAATAGAGTCATATGTGGGATATTCTCTAACAACGGGTCACTTTTTATCTGGATATCCAAGTTCTGTGGCATTGGGTGCACCCAGGGATAAGAATTATAGAGGGAAAGTTAGTATTTGTTTATTTAACTTATTAGTAGTTATTTTCATTTTAAAATTTATTGCTCATTAGGTCTATATTTATAACTACGGCTCAAACCATGTTTTTAATGACATCGAAGGCACACAAATGGGAGAATACTTTGGCTATAGTTTACAATCAGTTAATGTAAATAAAGATGATTTTGATGACCTCATAGTCGGCGCCCCTTTCTATTCAAATAAATATTGCGGTTATGATTGCGGACGGGTTTACGTGTTTTTGAGTTTTGGAAATGTTAGTGAATTTTATTTTATATTAATTTAATATCCAAATAATGTTTTAAAATACATTCTGTAAAGGGTTTTGAAAAGTCAAAGCCTCTTATATTGAGCGGATCTGATACAAGCGGTTCCAGGTTTGGCACATCTATTGCAGATTTGGGTGATATTGACTTCGATGGATATAATGGTTAATTGTTCCCAAAATTATAATTACATTAAAAACTCATTAAAAAATCCCAATAGATATAGCAATTGGGGCGCCCTATGAGGATGGAAAGGGAGCCGTTTATATATATTCTGGTAGTAAACAAGGAATTGTAACCCCGTTCGCTCAGGTAATCACATTGTATTGAATTTAATTTGTGACCAAACAGTTGACAAAAACATAAATTAAATTTTCAATAAATAAAAACACAGAAAATCTCAGCAAAAGAGCATTTAAATGAAATCAATTTAAATGGTTTCGGAATAAGTATTGCCGGGAAGCGAGACGTCGACCAAAACCATTACAACGATTTACTGATCGGATCTTATTTGTCAAATACAGCCGTTTTGTTGAGGTATTTAAAAGTCGTTAAGAAAGAAAATAATATATTAATTTTTATGACTAATAAAACTCAGAACAAGACCTATCGTTAAGATAATGGCAGAGATTAGGCTCAACGCCTCGCACATCAATGTTAACGAACAGAACTGTCAATACTTTGATCCAATCACCAGAAGTCGTAAACTAGTCCCGTGTGTGTCCGCCAAGTATTGTATCCGATATGACGGCTCTTACGTCCCGTCGTCACTGAATCTCAACATAAGTCTAGTCCTCGACAGCAGAAGGGCTGAGAATCCGCGATGTCTTACGATATATAAGAACCAAATGCGGTCTCAAATCAATAAGATTCTGACAATCGGTGCCTATTCTACACAAAACTGTTTCGACGAATTCGTTGTCTATCTTAATGTGAGTCTTAAATAAATGGCAAATGAATGATAATTATGTGAAATTGGTTGTCAATGCATAGGATAAGGCTTCACTCGACGATATATTCACACCAATTGAGATGTCTCTCAGCTATTCACTCATCCAATTGCGGACAAAAACCAATACGTTTTGTGCTAAATGTCCGATAATTAAAGACAATAATGTGGTAACAAATGAGGTACTGTTACCTAATATCTTATAGCTTATTAAAAGTTTAATTATAAATTATAATTATATTGTTTTAATGCTTATTTTAGATACACTTCCAAACAGGTTGTGGAGTGGATGAGAAATGTGTCTCAAAACTGAAAATATCGACCAAAACTTTACTCAATAATAAGCCCTATAAGAGAAGTGATGTCATATGGGAAGGACATCATCGGACTTTAACTTTAGTGACAACTGTCCGCAATAACGGCGAACCCTCCTATTTAACTAAACTATTGATTAAGTCAAGTCCTAACTTAAACCTAATCCGACAGGACAGTAGGTGTCGACTACTTAAGCTCAACACTCATAATCACACCCAAGGCTATGAGTGTGATGTTGGGAACCCATTGGAAATGAATAGTCATCAAGAAATTGAGATTCCGTTGGATATCTCTAAATTGGATTTAGATATCAATGAAATTGAGTTCAATATAGAGCTGAAGAGCGCCAGTCAAGTGACAAAAGACAGTCAAATGAATGAGACATTTGTGATGAATGTCATTAGGAATGCGAGTCTTATAATGATTGGGTTTGACATTGAATTCTGTGCCTAAGGGTTGCAATAATTTTAAAGTTGTTTTGTTTGTTAGAAATTCATTGGAATCTGAGATCATTTATGAAAGTGAGAGCAAAAGGAAACGTGATTTCATCCCATTTTCTGGTAGTTTTCAAGTAACCAAACAAAACTCCAGTTCTGTTGGCAATGTATTCATCGAAATCAGTTTTCCCAGTCTTTTCAATAAACAGCCACTACTTTATCGTCCAATTGTTGAGGTTTTGTGACTATTATATAGAATTACTTTATAATTAATAGTTTAATAAATAAATATTCAATTTGTCAGTTAAGTGGTGGAGTGGTCCCAGTCAACTGCAACCGAACCATTTCAGAGCTACCGGTGCTACCACTGACCATAAATGCTGGTAAAAGTACAGACAATAGTGATCAACGGGATGGTAGTAATGAGGAACAAACCAATGATATTAATAAAAGAAGTTTACTATTGGTATTGTATTCACAAATGTGAATGTATTGTCACATTAATTCACGTGAATGTCTGTCCACAGGAATGTAATTCCCGAATAGAGTGCCTGAAGTTGGAGTGTTTTGCGGGTCCATTCACTTCAGACCAACAAACGGCCAAATTCTATGTACAGCCGGCGCTCAATATTAAAGCAATTGAAGCTATTTTTGGCAAAAAATACGATTCAATCAAACTTCGAGTTCAATCCAAAGCTGTTATTCTGGACACAAGAATCACATCAAAAGCGTCACAAATCTCCACCGATTTTGTATTCAAACGAATCGACTTAAAAGCGGAACCCATAAAGTGGTGGATACTTGTGGTCAGCATTGGAGTCGGACTCATCATATTAGCCATCATTATCATAGCATTAGTCAAAGTAAGTCAAGACAAGCATTGGTTACAAAAACTTTGTTAAAACACACGATTTGTCTGAAGTGCGGATTCTTTAGGCGAAATCAATTGCCAAATGAAGACAAAGCCGATGAGTTGGCAAACAATGGCCGCACAGAAGACAATGAAGTCGAGAGGAATTCATTGCTTGAATTCGATGAACAAAACCAAACCCAAGACGAGTCGGCAACTGATATACAAAACATTGATAACAATCATTCAAATGGTTTGAAATCGTAAACACATTAATAAAAACATTTAGAAAACAAAAAATTCGTTTTTAATTTAATTTTATTACATTTTCATAATAATAATAAGTATTTAAAATTCAAATAATTTTGGCTAAAAAGAGACAAAACGAGATTCAAGACTACAATCAAGAGAGCGATAGAAGTGATTACAAGGATTGGTGGAAATGTGTGGTCCCTTTGATTAAAGAATTGTGGAATTCATTCATATCTAAAGGTATGGTTCGGTTTGAGTTTGGAATTCACAATAAGAGTCAGCTTTTGGTACAAAATTCATGTTTGACTAGTGATGTGATCGCATATGAAGTGATTTTGAATGATTCAAAAAATAGCTTTTGTTTCGAAAAATACAAAATAAACTCAAAAAGTAGTTGTCATTTAAAAATAAAGACTACAAAATTAAAAGAGAAACAAAAATAAATATGCATTCAATTAAACAGTCGAAAAATTTGTAGTTTTCATTGTTTCTTAGGGTAAAAGCTTTTGGTTAAAATATAAATAATATTTGGTTCACAAACTAAATGCAAACTCGGGTTTAGTTAAGAGATTCATAAAAAGAGCCTAAATTTGGATCATATTGTCTGAGAAATGATTGGAAAAACAAAATCAAGTGAAGGCACGATAGAACTGATTGTCAGAAAGAGTGTATAAAAAGCTGTCATTTATGTGTACAAAGGCTTGAAAGAAGACATCGGAGTCATGGCATAAGACTTAACATTAAAAAGAGAAAACCATTTAAAAACGATAAAACACTTATCTCTAGAGAGCTGTACATTCATATCAAGGTTTGGGGCTTTTTATGTAATTGAGAGCACAATTAATATCACGTTTTAAGCAATTGTTTTACATATGTATAGAGGCGGCCGTATATCGGGCTTCACTACTAGCCCACCGCCACTGTGAGGGCCGGTAACGGATCAACATCTGGCCCGACGATGACTGCGGGTTCTTATAGGCGTAGAACACCCATAGAGTGATGCCCGAGAAAAAGGCCAAAATGATGAGCACTGAGACTAAGCCGGCGCTCGAACTGCCCGACGAGGACGAGGGTTGAGTGTTATCGTTGTAATAGGGAATCGATTGCGGGTTTGTATTGATTGTAATGTCGTTTTCGCCTTAAAGTCAATTGTTTTATGAGTTTAAATGCAGACAAATATTTCAAAAGGCAAACAAAACAATACAATACCGGGAGATATAATGCTTTGTGTACTTAATGGGTGCGAAGTGTTGGGCGAAACGGTTGTACTAACGTTGGCCGCACACGAGACAGTGCCGTCTTTGATGGCCGCCTCGCAGTTCTTGACGATCCACTCCTGGCGTTGACGGTCGTAGCCATCGGAGCAACGGTTGACGGCGTCACACCACCCGCACTCAAACCCTATGCTCGCCGACATACACTTATCGCACGTCTGTAGAGAAGCGCAGGCTATTGGGTGGACATACAAGTCATACAATTAGTCAAACATAACAACAGGTCATTGTTTGCTTCAATTACTCGGCAATGCTTTGAAATATATGGCCGTATCGTTGCTGATGGCGTAGTCCTTGAGATCTGCTCTGTGGTACTCGTAGATTGTCTTCCGGCGAATGACTGAAGCATTCATTCAATCAAAAGTCAAATTAGTTATCAATAAAAGAGATACCGATTCACGAAAAAAAACTCACAAAATATAGTTCTGTCGATAATATAAGCGTCAGAAATGCCGACTTTGACGGGATGTTTGGAGTCGGGTATGTCTTTGATAGGGAAAGGCACTGATTTATACACGAACACAATGTCTCCGCTCTTCAACAGTATGATCTGGAAGGAGAAGCTGCCGTCGGGGGTGCGGTCGTGAAGCATGACATCATCCCATTGGATGACAAACGCCGTCTCGTTGTAGGCGTACTGTATTGTCGACGAATTGCTGAGACTGGTGTCGAAGTTGGCCATCAGTGCGGCGATGTATTGGGTGGCCGCCAGCCAACTGTGCACGTGATCGCCCACATACAGGAAGCCTCCCGTGGCTATCGTTATGTTTGTCATCGTCTGGCCATAGAATGGGAACTCGAAGGGCAACGAAACGGTGGCCGCGCGTCGGTGCGAATTGGAGAGCATGTCGTGTAATACCAACTGATGTCTCGGAAACGTCGATATATTGACCCATAAATTCTGGGCAATAGACGGCTCCGAGTAAAAGGTTGAGCTGTAATACGTGTGGTTCTCGTACTATAGTGAACAACATTTCCAGATTAGAGTCTCAGTTATATATATATCAACCGATTGGTAGACCAACCGTCTCATTAGCGCCGGGCGGTAATGCCGTCTGATTGTCGTCAACGTCCACATACGTGACGGTCATGTTTGCCAGAAGGGGCCCCTCCTTGACAGCTGCTGTCGTTTTTGTGCTGTTCTGCTTTGTCGACACATTCTTCTGCAGTGAATCTAATTTAGCGCTAATTATGGGCTTCTTTGTGGACGATGTCTTCTTTAGCTTAATGTCTAAATCGTCTGAATTTCTCTTAACAATCGTATGGTATTTGAGATTTGAATTCAATTCGCTATCATTGAGTTCCCAAAAGTCCGCAACTGTTTCAATAGCAAAGAGACATTATATTTAATGTGAATTCATTTCTAATCAATTTATGCCGATTTCCTTATTTATTTACATTTTGACTAAATTTTTCTGTCGAAACGATTATCTGATTATCAAAAAAGGAAAATATTTTCCCTAAAATGCTATGAAATGACAGGTAATATAAGTACAGCAACGATAGGATAATTGACTCGATTTCGAGTCACAACAGAATTGCTGCAAAAAATCAGTTTTATTCAATGAAAAGACTTATCCTTGAATTCAAATCGAGATTTATTAAGAAAACGAGTGAATAATAAAATAGGAAAAAGGTTTACAAAAAACAAATAAAAACAAATTTCATTTAACATTTAAATATGAATTTGCGAACAATGAGAGAGAGAGAGAGAGAGAGAGAGAGAGAGAAGAATTTTATGTCCGATTCATTAATTTGTCTCATCGTCCCTTTCCCATACCGTACCTCTTTGATAAACTACAGATTACGGTACATACATAACATAGGATTTGTATTTCTCATTAAATTTATTTATTGGAGAGAGAGAGAGAGAGAGAGAGAGAGAGAGAGTCCATAGGAGTTAGGAGTAAATGAATTAATACTGTATTAATAATAAATAAAAATTTCTAGTAATCAGAGTCTTATGAAAGGAAATACTTTTATTATGAATTTAAATGCGAGGAAATAAGAGGCCAAACAAAAACATCAAAAAGTTATAAATTGGATAAATATTTCTTGTAAATGAAATCAAACAACAAAATAAAGGGTTTGTAACTGAAAACCTGCGCTTATGTGATGCCTGCAAATAATTAGATGTTTATAACTAACACACATATAAAATAACTCATAAATTGATTTCTACACGAAATGAATACTCAAAGACATGAGTTTCAAACATTTGCTAACAAACTATAAGAGTAGGAAAATGAACAAAAATATTTACGAATCTAATTAATAGCAGTGTTTTAAACAAATGAAATATAATTTACAGAGACTTATATGATATGACAACTTATAATAAATACTAAAACATGTTTCGGTGAATAATATTTAATTTATTATTGAAAAGCATTCAATGATTTCATAATTCAGAGCTTGAATTACAATCGCATGAAAAATGTTTCTAATAATAAAAAATGTTTCAATTTAGATACCAAAAACAATTCATTATAAACTGATTATCGCTTAAAGTTTAAGTTTACAAATACAAAGGAAACTACAATTAAATCATTGACTAAATACTTGTCAAACACTTAACTGTTGCTAAAGAATTACAGTTAATTGAAATCCGTTTAAAATTTCATTTCCTATTTGTGTTTGTAAACAGAGTTAAACTTCAACTTCAAGTGAAAAAACAACTTTGTCTCAAAATTCAAGTAAACATTTTGTTTTAAGAAATCTTTTATCTCAAACTATTGGCAAAAATAAACTCGACTTTTATTAAACCTTTTCATAATACTATACTATACTGTATTAGAAATATAGGCATAAATTGTGCCACAATTTGATTCAGTAATTTGTATGGAAAACAAGTCAATTGTTTTCATGACTTTTTAGAAATGATTAAAAAATAGACACATATTATATGAAGCGAAACAAAATTCACATAAAATGCACATAAATTGCTTATAAATGGCAATTCATTTCAAACACAAATATAACAAAACTCAACCCAATTCTCTCACTAATAAATCAATTTCTATTCAAATGGATATTCAAATCATTTTTCATAACAAAACATTTTTGTCTATTTAGTGCCAAAATTGACCACAAATTCATTATAAATTCAATTAATGAAAATTCCTATCCAACCAAAAATCAATTACACTTTACTTTACGATAAATAATCGCAAACTTTGCAACAAAAATATAAATAAAAACGATTGAAACTTGATAACTAATATTTCCAATTAATTTATATAATAAGCTAGCAATGGATTCAATTAAATTTACAGCATTTGTTATTATGTCAAATCAAGTGCCAAATTATATCACAGTTTATGTTGACATTAAAAAAGCGATCTTTAATTTAATACGAGTTTACATTTTATAACTTATTTCCGATAATTAAAAACACTTTTCTCACCAAACAGTTGATCGCTACAAAACTCAATGAAATTTATTGAACTATTTATTTGATCATAAAAAGTGTCAAAAACTCAACAGTGATATTGAATTGATATATAAATAAGTCATGAAAACTATTACAGACATTGAAAAGCGATTTAATGAACTGATTATACGATAGTATCGTTAGTGTGCGGATGAGATACAGTGGAAAAAGTTAAGCAAAAATGAGATAATAATAGCATTAGATAAGTGAGGGCTGGGAGGGAGGGCAGGCAGAAAAGGTGAGCCAACACTAGTCTAACAGTTTGTTTAATGCAATTGACATTCATTTCCGCAATTTTTTCGCACTCAATATAATATTCACACATTTATTATACAATACATTGTGTTGTGTTTGAGTCTCGCATTCAACATAACTATAGCCTTATTATTATAATGTATACCAAAAAGAGTCACTATTTTTAGCATTCATTCAAAGAGTGAGTCCAACAAAACACAACTCAATTGTATCGCAAGGATAGGAGAAATCAATTAAAACGAAAAACAATTGTCTTTTAGACACAAAACTCAAACTCATAATCGCATTACAAAAACCATAACATAATTAAGACATTGAATGCAAACAAACCATACAATTGGCGACAAATATAATTAACTCGAGTATCGCTCAAAAAAAACCATTATTTCAATAATTGAATAACAATTTTGGGGTAAAAATACTTGTCGTAAGTATAGTCCATAATTACAATGAACGCGAAAAACCATTGAAATGAATGCAATAATCCAAATGACTTACCATTTGATGAGTTTGTAAAACAAATAAAATAATAAATTAATGTCAATAATAATAATATCGTCGATGTGTTGGCCATCACTTCAAACACATGTATTTATATAACTATTATGGCTTCAGATATATAGATAATTGCCGTATAAATGAGTTGATTAATAAAAATATAATATAAAACACAATTAAAACTCGTATGAGAAGTGTTGCTATTATTATGGGATTTAAATGAGTGCTTATTATCGACACAAATATATGATTCAAATGAACACTCAATCCATTGAAAGACAACAAACACTGCGAGAGACCGTCAAAGGCATCAAAATAGGTTTGGCTTAAACCAAAGGGCACTTCAGTTGCCCATCAATTATGTGCTATTTGTACGCAAAGGGCAGTGAATTATACAAACTTTATACACAGTATTGCATTCATATGCAGCCCTTTGACGGGGAGCTAAATGTGACATTTTTTACGTAACGTTTTCTATGTACTTAATATGTTTGACAAAATTTTATGGTATTACTAGTGACTCCTATAGGGTTTCAAATGACTTAAAAATGACAAGTCTTTTAGAGTATTTAAATGAAAATAGTTTTGACAATTTAACCAGTGTAATTAAACAACTACCGGTACTGTAATATTAACGACTCAATTAAGTTTATGCATAATTTAATTCACAGATTAGTTAATGAAAACTTTTATTTTATTATTAATATTTCTGTTTAATAAAATATTAATTCAAAAATATACAGTATATATAGTCTGTAAAATAAACTTTCTGTTCGTTTGTAAACTTCATGTAAAATAATGTGTATACAAATAATTAAATCTATAATTAAACAAATTTATTCGCTATTAAAATAGAGACAAATATTTCGCATTTATCGATCACTGAAATATTCAAACGTTAAATAATTTATAACTTTTAAACAGATGTTTAGTAACTTTTATGATACAAAATACGAGAGTTTCGGCGATTCCTATCGATGGAAGAGACTATGAAATCCTGAATTCAGACTTTTGTTGAGCACTACATATGACACAAACGAATTCCTAAGCATACAAAACAGTTTTAAATTTAATTGTAATCTCAATAACAAGTGCTATATTATCACAAAGTCTTACACCAGTTGTGGCCAACAAACAGTTCTCATGAAAAATATGGCGACAATTGAAGACAATTATATCACTCGCGTAACTAATCTCTGTTTAGAAACAAAAAAATAATTAATTGAAACGATACTAAAAACCATATAAATAGATGCGACAAACCCCTGGCAAATATCTTTCGCTGACATCCCTGACACAAGTAGTCGTCTTCGATAGCCACACCCCTCCGGTGCTGTCGATTCAACTTCTGGAGCAATGAGTAGCAGTCGGACACTAATACACGCCGACAGCCGTCCTCTAACTCTGTCTGGAGATTGTAATCCTGAAGAATCTTCACCAACGCCTGCATAAGACCGTCGATTTCGGTGCCCTCTGGTATGCGATGGATGAGCGCAATCGGGTCCGCCATATGAGTGCCGATGTTCTGCAGCAGAACCCGAATAAAACACGGCTTATTCATCGAGTATTGGATTAAGTCCTCCCAGAGCTCGGCGTCGGAGTGCTCTTTGCAGAACTCGATGGCGTGGTTGATGTCATCGAGTTTGTCGGTTATCAGTCGTAAGGCTTCCTTCGTGTTTCCCATTCGTCCCAAAAGAAACACAATTTCGTTGAATAAGTTCTTTTTGCGGCAAATGTCTAACGCTTTCTCCAATTGGTAGTGATTGGAGCTGCGGAGGAATGGCATCAACTTTTCCGGCGAGTACTGGGCGTACAGTTCGACAAGTAATCCGTGATGTGATGAACAGACTTCCGAGTCTTTGTGTACTAAATGATCCAAATATGTTAATAATAGCGATGGCTTTGACTTAAGCTTTTTGACGACTAGTTCGACGGGTATTGTGTCCTGATTTTCAATCAACAACTTCGACGCCTCGTCGGCGTTCAGTTGCAGAAACACTTCCAACTGCTCCTGAAGTTTGGAATAGAGTCCGTATTTGCGGATGAGATCAAACACTTGTGTCTTATTGCCGATGTCTTTATAAATGGTGAGGGCTTTGTCGTGTTTGCCTTCCCGTGAGTACAGTTCGGCCAACGCCTCCAAAAGCCTCTCATTCTTCGGGTCTATTGTCAACACATCTAACGTCGCCTTAACTATAGTGGGAATGGAATAGAGACTGGAATTCCAGTCTCGGATCGTCTTCAGGAAGCCCTCGGAATCCATTTCCAGGAACTCTTTCAACACAATCTCATAAATGGCGGGATTGAGTACGAGTTCGGGTCCGCGCGGCAGATATGGGGCCACGACTCGCAACTGACCGATGCGTTTGAAGCGCACGACTTCGTTCTCCCACGCGGTCCTATCGGTGCCACAAATGGTGGGACAGAGTTGGGCCGCCTTCTCGTACTGGCTGTGATGCGACTGCTCTAACAAATACTTTAAGTAAACACTTCCCACACTCAACACGTTGTGCTTCTTAAGTGTCTTATTGTATTTCACGACTTCCAGCGCCTCCTCGTACTGTTGGTGCTCCAGAAGCCACGTCACGTGATCGTCCTCTTCGCGAGGTTTGGCCACAATTAGGTCTTTGGGACACAGAATCAGATACAGTCCTTCTTCTGGTAGGCACTCGACGTGATAGTCATTACTGCGACAACTGTTGAACGACTTCGGCGACAATATGTCACTCGATATCTCTTCGTAATTATCAGTCCCAATGGGTTCTATCACTTCAACCCTACAGTTGTAAGAGTTGTTTAATTCGTTGGCGTCTTTATTGACACAAAGCACCACTAGTTTGGACTCNAAACCATTGATTACTATCTATTCATTCAAATACCACAACAATTGTAAGCACTTTTAAGATGACACAACTGTTGCCATCGATGATCACATACCCTATCATCAGAACTGGTGGCTATATATTCTCCCATATCATCGATACTGATCTGATTGACGGATAACTTATGCTTTTGTGGACAAAAACAAAACATTAAGTGAAAAGAAGTGATTGAATGACGCGAAGACAAACCAAAGGCAGTTCCCGTTCATTGACTCTATTGCCCAAAACGTCTATAATATATATTTTGCCCAAATGTGTGCCCAATGCTATGAACTGCAACACAATTACACCATTAGTGCCATTATATGAGTGGTTATAGTCGGGTGACTGACCCGGGAGTGGACGGCCAGACAAGTGGCCGACTCCTTCTTGAGGATCACTGACACGTCATTATTGATCCGCTCGTACGTCAACTTCGGCTCCACTTCCTGTCACAAGAGACCATATAATGATAGCATACATAGCGAAGACATGAATGCTATGATCACTACAAACCTCTTCGCTGTCATCGGCACTCATATCGTCGGCCTATGGGTTGACACCCAATGACACCAACGATCGCATCAAACGATCAAAACATAAATACAAACAAACTTTGAGATCAAGTAATGGATGTAAAGGGCATTCAATGCGTGACTCACAGCAAGTGATGGATTGACTCCCACTTCAGCCATCATTCATGTCTTAAAACAAATCACTTATTGGTTTGAGTTTTGGTGGCATTCATGAAATCAAATGCGTTTTCAATTCACTTTTCATATCAATTAAAATCATTTGCTTTTTGTGTTTACATTTTGTGACAAACTTTTCAACACAACGCCCTCTACTGACTGGCAATGAAAATGCACTTATTATACAAGTTTAAGGCATCATAGGGTTGGCTATACGTAAGCTCTCGAGAGTTATGCCGCAAAAGTTTCATAGTTTCATACACTTTGACAATGAAATTATGAAATAAAATTGCTTACCATTTAGTTTTAATACTTAATACAATTACAGTATACCGTTACAAAAATCTCGGCGATAGTTTGAAAGTGTTTGAAACAATTGCATACATATTACATAATAAATGTGGTCAACACCTGATTAAATACTGGTATCATATTACTGTAACATTTGCAATACAGTATTATTGTTTTTTACTGTATTCAGATTCTGTAAGCATGTGTGCAAATTAATCAAGCACATCCATAAGCTGTATATTTGACTGATAGACAGAAGTGCTTGTTTAACTAGTTTTAATTAAAAATATTTGTTAATTCCAGTGATCTATTCATTGATTGTATGAAAAATGAGACAAACATTGTGTAAAAACACGTGAATTATATAATATAATGTAATAGTGATTGTCTTGAATTGATTTGGTTATGAGATGAATGTTTTGTATACCAAACAAAAACTTTACTTAATTTTGATTAATTTTGTGTGCATTGAAGACTTCAAATTGAAGTAATAATAACTAGTGATAACGATATAGATTACAAAATTCATTGTTATCTTAAGACCACAAAATTGTGACAAATATTTGCTTTTAGTAATGAAATTCTTGTGATCAGTCTCTGAGATACGATGAAATAAATGTCAACTTTTTATATCAAATGTATTTAACTGTTAATTAAAATTAAAATGCGTTACTATATGTATACAAATAATAATTATAATGAGTTTGAGTATTATTTTTGTTGTTTTAACACAAGATTTATTACTTTCCAATTCTGTGAATAGTTTGTGAAAAAATGTTTAAATAATTTACTTTTTCTCTGAAAACTTAAATTTATTTCTATGGCAGAGATTTATGTCAGTCATCGCTATAGGGGGTGAGAGTGAGGGGTGTTTTGGACACGTATTCGGGGGTCCAACAGATCATAGTTTTACGAGTTTATATGAATTTTATGTCCGATTCATTAATTTGTCTCATCGTCCCTTTCCCATACCGTACCTCTTTGATAAACTACAGATTACGGTACATACATAACATAGGATTTGTATTTCTCATTAAATTTATTTATTGG